TGCTGGCAGCCTTGCTGCAAGCCTCTCCCTACTAAAGTCTGAGCTGGGCAGGATCCCAGGTATGTTAAAGCTGGAACCTTGTCTGCTCAGTCCCCCGGCTCGATGTCCCTGGGTGGGGATCCAGATACCCCCCTGGTATTTTTAGGGCAGACTTCTATCATTCAAGGTTTACACTTTTACATAGATTGCATGTTTCTCCCAACAGCAACCTGAGATGTATTCCACTGACATGTAAAGAGGGAACAGATAGGACGCTCAGAGAGATCCAGCCATCAGTCCTGGGTCACACAGCTGAGCGGGACCAAGCGGGGCCAGTCCTCAGGGTTCTGGACTCCAGGAGTCCCTCCCTGTGGGCGTGTGCGGGGTGGAGGCTGGGTTGGAGGAAGACCGACGCTGCTGGGTCTCTGAGGCTGGGTCTCTGAGGCCAGACTGGCTATCTGGGACACATTCCAAGGACTTTGCGCCAGGACCCAAAGAGGAAGCAGCAGGAGGCTTTGAGACAGGGTCTGAGGCTGTGTCCTCTAGTGCCACCAGCTCTGGGCCAGCAGGCCCTGTGCCCACATGGAGGGCCTCTCGGCCCTGGTGTGTAGTGCAGTGCACTCAGGCCGGCAGAAGGAGAGTCACTTTTAATTAATGGTAAAGCCTAGGCATGGGGTCACAAAACTCCCACGTTGCCAGCTTCTGCTGGTTGCTCTTGATTAGGCTGAGTGGAACTAGCCCAGTGGGGACGGGGCAGGGGCAGGGGCAGTCAGTGGGGCCGGGGGCAGGGTTGGCCCCGCTGGCTTCCTCCTCCTGCCGTAAAGGCTGGATGGTGTTTGGGACCCTGCCTGTCACCTGTCGCCAGGCCACACACCAAAGGCTATTCTGACCCCGTGTATTTACAAATACCCCTCTCCCCATGACCCTGTGACCCATTCACCTGGAAAGCCCCCTGGGTGTGGATGGTGCATCTTCCCTGCCTGACTCATCTGCCCAGCGCCTTCTTGACCTGCATAGGCCGGAAGGTGCCATGGGTACCGCTGAGAAGTACTTAGACGTTGTCTTATTCTTCAAAAGACACCCTCGCTCTGTCCTGCACTCCATGATCCAGGGCCTAGAACCTGTCCAACCTGTCCAAGTTCCCCTGGGACCGGCCCGAGGGCCTCTGGGACTGAGGAGGGACAGCGACCTGTCTCTGGGAGCCCACAAAGGGTTGACTGCCTCAGTCTGTGTCTGAGAGTAGCCTGGAATGAGCTCGGGCTGGAATGCAGTGGCAGGACCCCAATGATCATGGCTTACAGCAGCCTTGACCTGCTGTGCTCAGGCGATCTTTCCTCCTCAGCTGCCCAAGTAGGAGGGACTATAGGCTGCCCCACCATACCTGACTAATTTAAAAAAAAATTTTTTTTTGTAGTGACAAGGCCTTGCTATGTTGCCCAGATTGGTCTCAAACTTCTGGGCTCAAGCAATTCTCCCACCTCGGCCTCCTAAAGTGCTGGGATTACAGATGTGAGCTGCTGCGCCTGGACTTTTTTCCCCCTAGCATGATAAATCTTTATTTGAAAAGGCAAATGCAGTGAGAGAAGTCAGGACTGTCATAGCAGAAGCAGGAAGACAACTAGGAGCTCTGACTGTGAGGTCTGCATGTGTCATGCAAAGTCACCTTAAGGAAGAGAAAATGCTGATGTGAGTGGGCGATGTGCTGGAAGTCTGTTGATGAAAGTGTCCATCCAAGCTGACTGCGGGAAAGGTGTGGGCTCTTCTCTAGTCGCTGGATGCACACGGCGACAAGGTTGAACCGCCATGTGTCAGGTGGAGCGGGGCGTTGGTCACAAGCTAGCCAGCCATTCACCCTGTATGGCCCCGTTCATGTGACATCTGGAACAGACCATGCTTCCTGCGGTCGTGTACTGAGGATGGGCTCGAGGCACTGCTGGCTGCTGGGAATGGTCTACACCTCGACGAGGTTGTTATAGGGTGAGATGTAGAAGTCACGGAGCAGCCCATGCAGTCTGCTTGACGCCACCTGAGTCTCACCCTCACCACAGATGAACAGAGCCCCTCCCCTTCCACAGCAGGGCCGACAGTTTCTCTCCTGAGTCCTGGTCTTGGAGTTGGGGAGTGCCTCCTTGAGATCCTGGTAAATTAGACTTTAGTTGACTCTTGGACATAATAGATGGACATTGCCTGCTTGCGGGCAGAGGGTGGACCTGTGTTGGACCCTCTGGCTCTTTGTCCATCACCCCTGCCCGCCTGAGTCAGCACAGCTTTCTCCAGAGCACCTCGGTATCAGTAAGGCAGCACAAATCCCATTTTTGGCGGGGGAGACTGAGGCTTGTACCAGGACTGGGAGGCAGATTGGGGCTCTGAGCATCTCATTCCAGCCCCTGGGGGCTCCTAGCAATCCTGCCTCCCATGAGACTGCCTCAGCACCTGATGGTGAGGTGATGGTTGGTGGTGAGGGGGCTGCCTCATCCCCACTGCTGGCCTCAGCCTGGCTTCCCTCTGCTCTGGTTTCTGTGGTGACCATAGGGTCCTGAGGCTGCTTGCTGGAGGACTTGGGGTTCCTTGGAGTCAGGAGAGTGGATGCTGCTGCCACACCCCACAACCAGAACAGAGCAGGCTGGTGTGGGGCGAGGGTGTCCTAAAGCCTAGCACCTCCTCCGGGCCATCTGAGGCCCCGGTGCAGTGGGTAGTTCTGAGCCAGTGGAGCTGCTCCGGGTCAGCAGGTGTGACACCTGACACCAGGCCTGGGTGGGTTTCTGCCTGGATTTGGTACCTGCTTGGCTTCTTACTATTGGTGACCTCAGGCAAGTTCGACTCTGGGTTGGGGAGTGCCCAGCGGGAGTGCTGAGGTAAGGGGTGAGCTAGCCCCAGGATGTCCCAGTGGGGCTTGGGGCCAGCTATCCTCAGCCACAGCTGTGTGACCCTGTCGTGGTCACAGAAGGTGGCACAGGACGAGTCTCTGTTGTGCAAACCCTCTGGGAGCCTCCCTGGGAGCTGGAGAAGAAAGAGAGCTGGGTCTGCCCAGCCAGTTGTGGGCGAGGCTGGAAGAGGCCATGGGGGCCAGGCACAAGGATTCTCCTGGGCACGAGATCCTGGCCCTGTGTGCACACTTTCTGAGATCCTGTCCCTGAGCCCCCTCTGCCCACTGGCTGGAGGGGAGCATGTAGAAGTGAAGGGGGCTTCCAAACCATTGAGGCTGGGGCTTGGCCTTGTGAAACCCTTCCGGGCTCCTGGTCACCCAGGGGCTCTGCTGCCCATGGGCTCACTGCCTGGAGTTTGCAGAGAACGCCCAGAGCCCCCCAAGCCATCTGCAGGGCAATCTCTCCCTCTGCATGGTGACCTGCCATCTGCCCAAGAGATGGCGCTGTGCGTCCATGCTGCTGCCTCCACCTGGACCAGTCAGATCCAGAGCCAGGGGGACAGGCACGAGGGTGCAGCTGTGGGGTTGCGGGTT